AACAGAGAATAAACTGCCCAAATACCCTTAAACAAAGGAAAAGTACGTCCTTTATGAAGGCATAGAGCCTTTACTACATGAAAATGAAAATTAATGAATACACTGTGTACAGTAATTTACCTGATAAGACAGACCTCAGAAAAATACTTTATGAGAGCATTTATACTTTTATAGAGCTGTCTATAATGAAAATTAATTAACTAAGGATTTTTTTGCCCTGCCAGGGTGTGCCCGAGTTATCCGGAGTGCCGGGTTATCGAGAGCCGAGTTTTCGAGGTTCTACTGTACTATAATATTTTACTGAATTATTTAGAAAAACCATTTTATATGATACAAGATACAGTATATCTTCAAACAGTTTGTAAACCAAAGTTACACCGGAAAACATCTAATAAAATTTTTCTGCTCCTATATATATTTGTTCTAATAACAACTAAATATGTATATATAAAGTAACTGAACAACACTATGTAATGAAAAAATATTCAGTTTGGTTTTTCAAATTGTAAAATAAATCTGAAACACACGGCTATGGTGAATAGAAATATTTTAGATCTTCCATATCAAAAGATATGGAATATCTAAAATATTTCTATTCACATTTATTATACTAAATATTTACATTCCTACACAATATCCAAAAAGCTATTGTGCACTTTAAAGTTTTAATAAAAGTGAAGTTTTATGTACAATATTGCAGTTTCCCTAAAACACATATTGGAAACCAGTTCATCTGTAAAAGTAGTAATACCATCTGATTCAAAGTGGAAGCATGGGAAATACAACTTACATGTCTTCTAAGCAATGTACATATAACTTTAACGTCATTAAAATTCCTCACCATATAGTAACTTTTTGGAAACCCTATATAAGTATATACCACTGATCATCTGTATCTGCCAGATTATAAATCTTCTCTAGAGCAGTTGTTATTAAGACAAATACTATACATTTTAAAAAATTATTATGCTAGAAAGTTTCTTTAGAAATTTCTCTAATTATCTATTGATGTGTATATATTTCAAAAGCTGTTACATTCTCTGAAAAATTTAACTGGATTTTACATTTTAAACACTTCCTTAACAGATTTGCAATAAGTTAAATATTACTTTGTAATTTTAAATTATTAATTCCTGTTTAAAAAAGTAATATCTTATTTAAATTTAAATAATATTTCCAAAATTTATTTTTAATACCAACATATCTTAAAAGTAAAATAATAATTTCTTTAAGCTTTCAAATCCATAACATTATTTATGAAATTAGTTGTAAGCAATAGAAAGCAAAATTATTTCAAAAAATACTATGATACGCTTCTTCTCTAGACCTCTTAATGACTTGTGAGCACTAAGGTTGGCCTTACTTTACCACTAGACTTATTACACCACCACAGAACATCAAATTAGACTTAGAAAAACACTGTTTTATTTTCAGAATGCATTTCGAACTTGGAGTCTGTCATCAGCTTTTTTGATTTTTATTGGAAAAAACCCCCTACCCTTTTTATGTATAGATTTTTTTTTTTTTGTTTTATGGCATGTTTAACCTTTTAATGTTCTACACATCGAATCGACACGTTAAATCAAAAAAGCTAATGAGGGACTCCAAGTCCAAAATGTATTCTGAAAATAAAACAGTGTTTTTCTAAGTCTAATTTCATGTCCTGTGGTGGTGTAATAAGTCTAGCGGTAAAGTAAGGCCAACCTCGGTGCTCACAAGTCATTAAACTTATTTCCTTTCATAAATCAAAAATCTTCAAAACATTTTTCAATCAAACAAAGAAAATTCAATTACTAATCTTCTAATTTTAATATATAGTCAATTGCATTACTACATATAAAAAGCATTACAAAAAAATTGTTTATAAGATCAATCATTTGAAGTAAAATAAAATGCTTACTCCAATTTGCTCTGCTAGTTCTTTGGAAGGTACTAATATTAGTGCTAAAGGACAATTAGATGGTATTTCAGCCTGTTGATATTTTTGTAATTCAATTAAATGATGCAAAATTGGAGCCAAGTAAGCAATTGTCTTTCCACTTCCTGTTTCTGCAGAAATTTGCACGTGTTTATATTCCAATATCTTTGGTATCGAAAGTCTCTGAAAAAAATGAAAAAAACCACACTCTTATTATATTAAATTTACTAGAAATAATTTTTTTATTTCCTTAATGAATATAACAAAAACAGATTTATCATTTGTCTTAATACAATTACATGCAATTGTGAATCATTGATAGGTAAATGATAAAACACTCAATACAATGTAGTCAATTATTTTATATTGAAAAAAACTGCATCAAATTTCTCACTTATTTACAGCGAATAATTTTATTTATTTTTGTAAACAAAGTACAAAATAATCTCAAACATTCAAAATATTTACCTGTATAACAGTTGGGTTGTGAAAATTTAATTCTTTGAGTTTTTTCAAAATACACTGTTGTAATTTTAATAATTCAAAATTATTTTCCTCATCAAAGTTTTCGTTATATATAGATGGATTCTGTAATGATAATCAACAATATGATATCGAGCGAAAATGTCAGAATAATACAAGCATCAAACTTACTTCTCCATATCCATTTATTGTAAAATAATCTCCTACAGATTTTCTATGTTTCCAACCTTTAGAAGCTAAAGCGATAGCTTCGTATTTATCATATATTTGGCCTAAGTAATGGTTAAATTCCGACCGCTTGCATTGAATAATAGGAAAACTCCTGTTTCCTCCTCTGCTTTTCTTACGAATCTCCTCTATTTTCTGTAATTCTGTTTTCTTCTTTAAAGCTTTTAATTTTGTTTTCATATAAGCAGGGACCGTAATAACTGGAGCATCGTTTAGCTGAAAAATAATCAAAATCATATAGATTCTAACAACAAATTATTATTACATGTGTTTATACTGGTATATATGCATATAATTTATATATACTGCATTACCGAATAATTCATACACCGCTCTAAACGAAATAAACTTATCTCTGAAAATAGTAAAATGCTCTTCCGATCAAATTTCTGCATAAAACGTGCGGAAAACATCGTAAATACGAGGTCAAAACAAACCTCGAAACAACTACACGTGTTTGTCACGTGGTTACTATACGTCGGATTCGTCATATTCGCCCAAAGTCTAAATAAATTATAAGTAAACATTTAATCACTAAAATATTTATATTTTAATAATTATATAATTATAATATGCAATAAAAATTTATTTTTAAATACTCATTCCTTTAAATAAAATTCATATATTTTATCCTATGAGATTATCAATAGTAAAATGATTTAACAAAAACAATTTTGAACAAATATAAGAATAATTATCTGATTAAAATTATAATAATAAAATGTTCATATATTTAAACACTTTCTTCTACTTATCGAAATTCTATTTCTCTCAACGCTAAGATGCCATATTATTTTTTTTTCTTTTTTACTTTTTCCGCCCTGTGGGCACTAAGAGGGCCTCTTATAGCAGGCCCATTATGGGTTCGGCTATCCCCCAATTGGGCGACCGGGTGGTGAGGGACGGGGCCCGACATATCCGAACGGATCAACCCCCGAAAATTTCCTGGGGATTCCTTGACCGGTTCGAATTCGATCCCGGGTCCCCCAGAGCGGTAGGTTGCCACCTTGACCGCTCGGCCATCCAGCCGTCTGCGTAGGCGGATCACGGTCTGTCAATTGATAACCTTCAGCCTGGAATATGTAGCGCTTTAGTTCGGTTATTATGATCATATACTTCGATTCTATGCTGAATATTTAATTAGAATTATAAGAAGTTTTTATAGGAAAGAACCCGAACATATCCGAGACAGATCGCTTATAAAAACTTCGTGAATTTTCGCCCGGATTCGATCTAAGGTCTCCCACACCTACCAGTAACCGAATGGATAAAACCACGTGATGAAACTGATAGTCGCGAGTTCGCGCCTGACTAACGGGCTAATAAAGTGATTTTTACCGGGTTTTCTTAGTTTGTCTAACATCTAAATACGGGCCAGTTTTTCATAAAAAATTTTCCCGAAAAGCATCCTACTTTTGGCATATCCCCCATGTGTTGCATCGTATTCTATTACCTACCCAGGCCATCAGCTGTCAGAAAATATAAATTTGTCGTGTTCAATACATGAAACTGTGTTAAATGTACACTACACAATAATAGCTCGTACTTCGAATGACTAATTTCGAACTCTTCAGAGTTCGAACGCAAAATTCGATAAAAATTCGTCTCGTAGTTCGAACTAAGTGCCCAATGAAAAAAATCTGTTCGAAGCATAAACACAATCCGTTATATGTCCAAGTCCCTCTCGTACTCGCGTTACGCTTGTATCTTTTCAGTGCTTTTTTCGCTTTATTTTTGGTGTGTTTGATTAAACTGTATATTGTAGCCGAGTAATCTATATATTTAATGTTTGCTGTTGATGTTTTAACTGACCTACGTTGGGCTAATCTGCTAGCTTTTATATAGGCCTATAGACTTTTAAATTATTATTAAATATGAAATATAAAACCTATTAATTGTATAAAAATTATAAAAACATCCCAGACAAAGAAAATATAACTCAGAAATAATTGATTTCCAACCTAATTAACTAGAGTGTCGTTAAAACCGAAAACGGCCGGCGACGGGTGGGTTTCCCTCGGACGTGACATTTTACTTAGAACACCGAGGATTAGAAAACAATATTTTAATAAATAAATCAAGAGTTGTGGATTTGAGTCCCATTCTGGACAATTATTTTCTTTCGGAATATTCTAAATTTAAAATTAATTTAATTCTAATTTTTAAATTTATTAGGAGAGCAGCTAAACCACCTATCTCTAGCCAAACTGATTTGTTATCTAATTAGTTATTAGGCTCAACATAGCCCAATAGATAATCTGACAGATCATTTGGTAATAGAAATGTGCTGGGTTGTTGTTTATTATGTAAATTACACAATCAATCCGCAAGAAGGAAGTGCAGCTACCCATTCTTTCACAGTTAAGAAAATATTGTGGCAATATAAATTAAAACTTTCAGTTGTATGAAATATGTTGTAAATTCCCGATCTTACAATGGTGGAAGCAATTGTTTCCAATCAAACCCCAACCACTTGTAATGTAATCTGAGTAAATTTTCTTTTTAGCGAAGTTTTACATTTAACAAATATTCTACCAAATCCGAGGGAAAATAATTTGTTATAAAGTAACTCTCCTTTAAAAAATGCAATTAAAATACTCGGAATATTTCATCTATGACGTAAAACTTGTGACGTAATGCGTGACGCATTGCAACGACAAATTCGAATTCGTTCCATTTCGTATTGTTGCCGACGCCATCTTGGAAATTTTTGCTTTCCGGAAATTGCGAGTTCTTTTTCTTTCCATTTTAACATTTTTCGTACAAATTTTCATAATGAAAACTCGCGTAACGTAAGTAACTTAATATTTTTTGATTAATAATATTAAATAGTTTAAATTAGATACGCTTTAAACTTAGATTTGCGGTTTGTAACCTGTAAGGATACGGAATGCGTTTTTATAATTTTATTTATTATTACAAATATCTTAGCGATATTTTACAAAAAAGGGACTATTTTAGCATTTTAAAGAAAAGATTTGCAATTAGTTAATATTCTGACGTAGAACTTGTGACGTAACGCGTGACGCATTTATCGCACGTTCGATTTCCGACGCCATCTTGAAATAGAAAGTTTTGTGGAAATTGCAAGTTATTTTTCCCTCTGTTTTGAGATTTTTCGAAATACTTGAATTATATAAACCCGAATAACGCATGTAATGTAACGTTTTTTTATTTATAAGCAATCAAAATTGAATAATTGTCGATAGAATATTAAATGTAAAAGTCCTAAATTTTCATTAAAAATATTTAAGGTTGTTTTCACTTAGCATCGAATTAAATCATCAGATTATAAATAATATTCGCTTGTATATCGTCTTATATTGTTTTCAACGAAACAATAAATGTCCTGTATTAGCAAATGATTTTAATATTAAGTTAATTAATTAGTTAATGAATCATCTTGACCTTTTGTATTCTTAATAATTAAATTCTTAAATTATTCTAGGAAGAAGTATCATTCTCAAGTTTTATAATCCACTTTCCAAAGAAACATGGAATCATTTTAAAAACTTCTTGTGCTCAAAAAATTAACAAGAAGCAAAAGAAAGGTAAGGCATTTTAATTTTCATTCTAAATTGTTATGTATTTTAAACATTGTTTCAGTAGAAAATGGCATATAAAAGTTTAGAATCCTCATTGATGAATCTAAGAATTTATTTTAGTAGAATGATGCCTGAAATGTAATGTTATTCATTCACGCTTTCAAAATAATACGAATTGCAATTTTAATTAAAAGTAATAAATTAGTCCTTCAGATTATATTTATTTCATATCGAGATAAATTATAAACATTTAAGAAAAACATTAGCAGAGAGTTTAAATCATAATATAATCTTGTTTTTTAAAATTATCAGAGTGATTAATATGAATTTATAATGTTTACCTATTGATAACAGGATTTATTTTAAAAAATATTAATTCTTAGCTTGTTATTTCAATTATCAAATAGTACATACACTTATACAGTTTTATATATACAAGTAGACTATTTAATATTGGTATTGATTAATTCCAAATCAAAAGAACTTTCCTTTATCAATTCCATACTAAATTTATTATTAATTTTTGAAAATTTACCAATAATAATGTTTCCTTATTATACTCATTTTATATATATCTTTCCATTCCTTCTATAATATTAATTTTAATATATTTTATTGAGAATTCTGATATTATTATTATATTATATATAATATAATATGTAATAACAATATATAGGATGTATTATTTATAATTTTTTGTGTGATTGTATAGTAAGTATATTTGAATTTTATCTTGTATTATTGTGATGAAGGACAATTTCTTCCCCAATTTAAGAACTAATTGTTTTATATATACAAATAAAACTTTAACTTATCAAGATTTTCACTTGACTTTTGTAATATTTCCTTATTAAGAATTGTTTTATTGAATTTGGGTAATTTTTGAGAATTTAACACCATTGCTCATTCATAAAGTACATAACAACACCCAATACTCAAATCCACAGCTATACACAAATCAAATCACACTACTACACTTAATTTATTTGCATTAATATCTAGAATGCCATTTATATAACCAGAAGTCTATCTAAGCTGTAATTAACATTCTTATTTTTGGTAAACTCAATGCTAAATTTTAGAAAATCCTACAATTTTAAAGAAGTTGTTTTATTTCTCTTAGCATATGAATTAATTTTTATTAAGACATATGAAAATGAAGCTTAACTAGAATTTTAATATTTGTTTGCTTATTTTTATATTAAAAATAGCTGTTTTTTCAACTCTTCTATGTAACTCTTGAATACATTGATGATTCTGACATTTTATTTTTTACATGTTTAATAGATTTAACTGATTGTGAGTACTTAAAGTCAGGAGTTGTGCGACATCATTTAGGCTTCTGACATACCAATAGAGCAGCTATGTGACATCTATGTATGAAAATTACTTTGTGGTAATCAACTCAATGGTAAGTGGCTGGAAGTGATTACATTTATTTTAAATCATTATTATATTTATTCATATTTCAGAATCCATTTTAAATAATGTTCTTTTTTAATTGTTCAGGTTATCTGCTCCACACACCTTCCTTTAGAAAATGTTGATATTGAACTTTGTCACTGCAATCTTTTAACAAACATTTCCATTATGACAAAGAGCATGCAACATTTTCTTCTATAAATGGTCAGTGAACTACTTTACTTTACTTTTATATTCTCGGGACCATTTTAATTTTAAATTTTGTAAAAATTGGCATTCAGAGTTTGATTTGTCTTGATGTTCATTTTGGATTAATTAGCCCTATGTTAATTAAGCACAATAAAATTAGGTTCAAATTTTCTTTATCATATTTAATGTAATAGAGATAACCGTAAAAGCAGATTATAAATTATGAATTATTGTAAAATTTGTATTTTAAGTAAATAAAGATTCATTCAGTTTAAATTTTCATTCTATATTTTACTATATATGTAAGGAATTAATAATATTTGTAATATAATTAATATGTTTGTGATTGCTATGACAAGAAAGTATTTAAATTTATTGTACTTCTTTTAAAATCAAACAATATAGTTTTAAAGAACATTAAAAAGTGTATTTGAGAGAGAGTGCTTAATTTTTACTGTTAAACATACAGATAACTCCTCATTATAGCAAACAAGATACAATATTTAAGTGTAGCATAGATGACATTTTCAATCCTGATGATACAAACAGTTTCTTTCAACTGCTGCAGAGGAAGCAAAAATGCTAAATAGCAATTAACTGCCATGTTTTATTGCAGTACCTCAGGTAAGAAATGATTTTGTATTACACTACACTGCATTCTTTCATCACTTTTATCTTAAGAAGGATCAAGTACTGATATCACTGTACATGACATAGATATGGAGAATATGAGACCCTTAATCATTGCATAAACATCAAGAGCGTATTGTATTATGTGAACAATGTGTGCTCTACACGCTGCAAACTGCCAAGATTGGATGATGCAGAACATTTTTAATAAATAGTTGAACTGGAAACTAGATTAAAAGATGAAACAAAAGTAAAGAGTCAGCTGTCAGATGACAACTGCTTGGTTTGAGTCCTATCTAGAAAATGTGCAAGTTGAGTGCTTTCTACACTGCTGTTCTACAGCTGATCTTGGAATAATCTATACTGTACAGGCTGAATATTGATGATTTTTTTCAACATCGATAACTATGTCTACAGAACAAAGTAAAGCAAGCTGCTGATAAGACTGCTGCAGCATGTGCACATGTCATGAATTTTATCACACTATATTTTGTCTGGTAGCATTAGAAACCACAAAATGTCACAGATTTTCCATCCCAAGTGTGGGAAAACCAAGTTAATGACTACCATTAATATTTTTTCTAGTTCAAAATGTACACATTATACTAAATAATATTAGTTAATGGTGATTTCCCTTCCATTAACTGTCAGAATTATTATTACTGTTTGAACAAAATATAATGTTTAAAACTCTACCAGCAAAATTATTTATTAACATAACATTATTTCCAGGATTATGATGAATAAAATTCATGAAAATTATTAGAAAAAAAGAAACTGCAATCTTAAAATGAAGTATATAGTGAAATTTAACAATTGATATGGTGTATAACTTTTTCTAAGGAAAAATTGACCATTGGTTAACGTCAATACTTAAAGACGATTTCACAGATAGCGATGCTAATGTGAGTCTATCATAATATATTTATCAAATGGTTTTCTTTAAAAACAAGCAATTATTTATTGTGACATTGTTACAATGTTGGGCTGCAGTTTCTAATCATATTTTTAATTTAGAATATATCCTCTCCAATTCAAATTAGTAGTAACTTGCCCCTGGTACATCACACTTTTCCTTGCACAATACAGTTGTGCCAGTCGTATCTCTAACACCTTCCAGGGTAAGATTTTAATTGAAATAACGCTTATATAGTTAATTGGGGCCTTCTCCCACTAATGTTTAAGGAAATTAAAAAAAGACAGATGGAATTTATAGGTCTACAAATTGCAGTTCAAAAATCTTAATATGTAAATCTTATTACTTTTCATAACTTGAATCATAAAACAAAGTAAAAAAAGTTAAAATAAGTTAATGACAGTGGCGTGTTATAGCTTCACGAATCCCATTTGAATTTGAATTAGGGATGCCCCACCCAGGCAATTGAATTTTTCGTTCATAGGATAACACCCTACTGTTTAACAAAATTATTCTTTGTATATTTTTATTGTTAGATATACTGTTTTGTGTATAACATTACTATTGCAAATTTAAATTTGTTTATTAATAATTTTATACAGTACAATGTTATACAATATAGATGTCTTATGTATTGTTATACAATACATGAGACTTCTATTCGTGAGAACTATAATGATATACATTAATATAAAATAACACAAGTTTTATATTCAAAATTAATTTAATTATAATTGAAAATTTTAATTGCAATGTTACTTTAATGCTATTTTAAATACGCATTCGACAATTTATTTTTATTACAACTGCCACATAAACACATACCGCACACTAAATATAGCATAATGACACCCGTATTCGAATGTTTAAAGCTGTTATAAAATTTGATATTTTTTATTACGATCAGTAAAAGAACAAATAGCAAAATTCATATATGAAAATAGTGTTCTACGCTTGTCATGTAAACAAAACGCACTTAAATTAAACAGCAGTAGGCAATAAACAGAAAAATAGCTTCATATAATTCTTCATAACTATTTTTTGCATATTGTAAACAATACATAAATTTTATAAACAATTTTTAAATATTATTCCTAATTTTTTCAATTATTAAGCACCTCGAAAAGCAAGTTTTAAAGGGTCTAAATAAATACGTTTACGAACAATTCCTCGTAAGGTTGTTAAGACCATTCAGTACAATATTATAACCAAATACTTATTAATAGTCATTTTTTCGCGTGCTTTTAGGGTTTCCTGGCCTTCGTTTTAGAAATATTATTGTAGTTAATGGCACGAATAATCACACGGCAATTTTACAAAATAATTGTGCATAAATTAATCAATTACATTAGAATAGAATATAAAACTACACATAAAAATACAAAAATTTTAATTAACATTATAAACATAATTTCAAAGAAATTTTAATTAATTTTTTTATTTTACATTTTAAAATATAACAATATTAAATAATTATATACGATATTTAATTGTTATCTTACTTTTGATAATATCTTTTTAATTGCATTATTTATAATGAATTATATAATTATATTTTGATATTTTATCAAAAATACATTACACGTTTTTGGTAGGCAGCAACCAAGTCAGTTGCTGCATATCAAAAACACTGCTTTGGCATAAAGGCCACAAATAAAACAACAATTCAACAATACGAAAAAATTACATATAAATTATACTTCAAATCAACTAACTAGTCGAAATAATAAAAAAATTCACATGCATCAAAAGAGAAAACTTGACATTTTCCTTTCTATACCTATGACTAGACCTTTACACACTTATAACGTATGACCGGACATTGGAGTGTCGCTAAGGCCGACAATGGCCAGCGACGGGTGAGAGGTGGGATTCCCTCGGACGTGTCAATTTCCTATCTATACCGATGACTTGANTAGCTGGATTATTAAAAAAAAAACATTTATTAAAATATAAAAAGCTACAGATAATCAATGGTTACAGAAAGGCGTACGGCTGCCTAAAACTGTCCTTTATAGGACCCAAAATCTATTACGCCAATTTAAAAGCTAAAAATCTAATCTTATACTCTATGTGACGTGAATCGAGAGAAGAGAGCCAACCGAATCATTTAACAATACCTCAACAAGTTTTGTATGTGATGTCATCTTAGACAATCGAGTATCTCGGAGGTGTTCATTCAAGTTATCTTGGAATAATAAAGGTGACTACGGTGGGATGACATGTATGACTATGGACTGTATGGGTCTGGTGTTCCCTGATGTCTGCTGTGATGCTATCAGCTGTGATGTCCGCTCCGTTGATCTCCGACTGTAGAGGTCTGCATGGAGATGTCCTCTGAGGGTGTCTACTTGGCAGGGTCCTCTTTGGCTGTCCCCCCGGAGGTGCAAGTTTGACCCCTTTTTATACTTGTCTCGAAGAGGGAATCATGGGGGAAGAAAATATGATGCAATCGCCAGCTCTACTTGCATCCATCTGTGTTTATGTTATTGTCACTCTTTCCCATCATAAATCTGTCTATACTGTCAACTTCTTAAATTAATTGCTGCAGGTGGCCAATATCAGAACAGCTGCGAGGCCACCTGGGTGATGATTACGAGTCATTTTATTACTCTCTCTCATGTAACAGGTGGACATCCTTGTTAATTGGCTATCGATTTGTACATTGTAACGAAGGTGGAATTGAATAATCTCCCGTTTTGAGGGTAGAACTTCCACTGACGTGTAGGACGACTGTGAAAGTTAAAAAGGTCACCTTGTGAAGTGACGCAGTACACTGATGGGTCAAATGGTCTAACTTCAACAAATTTGAAAAAAATAACTTTTTAATATTTAAGTTCTCTAAAAACTCCCAAGAGTCCAGATTCTCACAATTATTTGATCTTTATAGTTTATGACAACATCTTAAAGAGTAATTAAGGGAGTTTAATTACAAAATCAAACAGTCTCAAAGATGATTCAATGTTAAAAGAAGAAATTCTTTTCTACTATAGAAAAGTGTGGTTATATTATTACTTGTTAATTAGGAATCAATAATAAGTTTAACTATTTGATTTAATCCGTTAGAGATTTAAATTCAAATTACTATATGCATGTTGAAAACTATTAAATTATATTTTGAATAATTTTAGGGTCTCCAAGAAATTAACTCCACTAATACACAAGTCAACTATTTTAATGATTATGATTTTTCTCGGCATAATCAAAACGGAAAAGTATTTTCACTTAAAGAAAATTGTGTTCTTGATTCACAAGTGAATCCACCAGAATCAAAGTTTATTGGAAGAGAATCAGTGAAAGAAACTAAAAATGAAGGTATTGTAAACTCTTTAAATATAATTAAATTATTTTTCTTATTAATATCTGTAGTCTTGAATAGTTTAATGAGTATTTTTGTGTGTATAATCTGTGGGTTATGGACTGTCCATAAATTACGTCTGTATCTTTCTTGAAATTTTTACTCTCCCTCTCCCCATTGTCCCAGTTTGTCCAAGTTTTCATAACCCTCTCCCCTGTTTGGATGTTGAAGAAAACTCAATCTCCCTCAAAACATTTATCACTTTATGAATAATAAAATGCATAAATTGTATAAAACTTAATGAAATTAACAGATTTCTCCTTGTCCGACTTGTCATAAACTCCTCCCTCCATCCCTTCCAATGTGGATGTCATTTACATACAACCCCTAAATAGCTATACTGAAGAGAGAATTTGAAAGGGGAAATTTTAAATTGAAACTACAAGATTGTATCTATGGTGTATCTGTTGCTCAATAGGCCAGGTTGATGCAGCAGTTTTATTTTCATTCTAGCAATTTTATGTGAGGTACTGTACATGCACAAAAATATGGTGATGTAAATATAAAAACATCTATTTATACCAGTGCCATATAATGTTATACTTGACCAAACATAATGATAAATGTCTTGAGCATGATGCCAATATTGTAATTGAGGTTTAATGTTTACAATACTACATAAAAGGCTAGAAAATTTGGCTCTTTGAGACCAGACTTTACCACAGTGTCTTTGAGGAGCAGTTCTGACCTAAAGAAAAACACCACATATACATGGGAATTATTTAAGTCAATCAGTAATAATACAGTGTGTGATCGGTTAATAAACATAATTCGTTCCAAGACTTTGTTCATTAACCGATTATCAATTTATCATAGGATTTTATGGGAATTTGATTAATTCATTCTGGAGACCCCAAAAAATAAAAAATATACACTTTCTTATTACATTTATTTATATGTAATAATAGAAATACATATATACACAGTCATGTTTTTTCCATTTGTGAGGGTTAAAGAATCTGTCTAATGTCGATTGCATTTCTCTCTTCTTCAGGATTTTTCAGAAGTAATTAATAGCATTGTAATTGTATAGATCCCTATGCCTACTAACTTCAACCTGGTTTGAATGCCATTCTAAGACCACTGTTCTGACATCCTCCCACTTCTTCAAAAGATGTTTAATAGCAGATATTGGCATTAATCCTCATTTCCAGAAGAAAACATCTTGCCAAGTTTCTTGGTGTTATTCATTCTTGGTGTTCTTCTGTGGTCAGATTCATTTCAGGTTTTATTATGAGCTCTTCAATGTTCTTTATTTCTCAGATGTGATTTTTGTTACTCCTTTAGCTGCATGAGTCTTCTTGATTATACTGTATCTTTTTTAGATAAGATTAAACTGTGGCCTACTGTAAACCTGTTCGAGCCATACTGCCCAGCAACATTAGGCATCTTCTGTCCACTCTCTACCTTTGCTATTATACTCTCACTTTTCGAAAATAAAAACTGATGCAAAACTTAGAGTGCCTGCCCGACAGTCTTGCAAATACTATAAAAGAATTGTTTCTGTCAGAAAAATAAAAGGCTGGAATTACAAGGGAGAGTTTGAAAGTTCGGAGGAATACTATCTGATCAGTATATACTGGAATGTGTGTCAATGTTGATGTCTCCCGTGCTCCAAAAAGTTCCAAATTGTTGCCTGAAGACAAGGGAAGACCAATTGGTATTTTTGATTTTATGTCACTTCTTGTGTTTCTCCTGTGAGGTGTTCATTATTTGAACATAAAAACTTTTTGTGAAAGTATTCGTTATCCAATTTGTTCGTTAACCAATCATCCATTGTACTTCTAAATAACCATTCTTACATGTAGCCATCCAAGCAAATCTGTCTACTTCTGCCGCCTGGTATAGTGAATTTATAGTTACTGCCCATCTCATTTACGTAGACTCGTGGACATATACTTTACGTGTTTCCTGCTGGTAACAACTCTGTGAAAAATTCTGTAACATTTATTTAATAATAAAACTCAGATTAGTTTCATAGTTCTTTTTGGTTTGTTTCAAAGTTATAAGTCACATGATAATGGTGCTCTCCATATCAAAAAATTGAATAGTAAGATACTTTTCTAGCAGTTTTGTGTATCTTGAAAAACTTTGACAGCCGATGGCAGAGACAGCATTTATGTTAAACAATGTTTAACAGTCAAACGGCCTCTAGATGTCAGCCAGCTGAACTGCAACTTAAAATGCATTGAAAAGACGACAATTGTCTATTTCTGAATGCCATCTAAACAAACTTTGGCAAAATGTTGGCTCTTACGTTCTTCGTGATTACTCCCGTTTCAGGAGTCATTCAGCCAATCAGATTATTTGTGTGACATCAGAAACATGGCAACTGTGTCGAAAACATTTACGAATTTTTCTGAAGATGAAAAGAACATCCTGGCGGAAATTATTAAAAATTATCAGCATATTTAATTTAAGAAAAGTATATCTATGATCTATGTTATAGGTTGCTGGAAGCAATTAAAAATAGACACCAAAAAAGAGGCAGATAATAACTGACGTGCTGCACATATAACAGGTGGAGGACCAGGGGCCATATTCTAGTCACCGTCTCTGGTCTCTCGTCTCTCACAAGCCGGTCGCTGATTGGTTAATCATTTGGATTAGCCAATCAGCGACCGGCTTGTGAGAGACGAAAGACCAGAGACGGTGACCAGAATACGACCCCAGCACCATTATCATTGAATCCCTCCACACAAGTGGATTTATCTGTTTTGGGTGACAGTATTGAACTGTTACCCAATCCGGATGATCCACCATCACCACTTATTACATATGAAAATAATACTGAATTACTTACAGCTACAAATGAATACTCTAATTCTGGATTATTTTCACCTGTAGAGATAAATGATGCAGATGTCAGGGAAGATATGGAAGTGGCAGATGATCCATCACCACCCAAAAGAAGATGGTAAATAATATTCAGATAAAATAATACTAAATATTAATAATTACTTTCTGAAAAGATAATTATTCATATTATATTTATAGCATTAATTCAATAGAAAAAGCCCAAATCCAACTAGTAGAGGAGAGCATAAAAACAAAGAAACTTAAGATAGAGGTATTAAAGTTAAAAAAGTTGAAACTTCTGCAAGAACTAAAATTATCAGAAAATAAATAAATGCATTTATTATAAATATTAAAACGGCCCTTTTCAGGGCCAACAACTTTAGTTAAGAGTGGTCAGATCTTATTAAACAATTAGATGATGGAAGAATATCAAAGAAAAAAAATATATGAAAATAAAGATTACAATTTTTAAACTGTAATTATTTCAGTAAGTTGTATTGGATAAAACAAAGACAAAAGTGAAGCATAATTCATATGTAAAATATATATATATAATTTTATCAAATAGCTATTTATCTATTCTTTGTGATTACAGAATGATGTTTAACATATATCAGATTCTTTATTCACATTCTCTTTTACACTGTACTAGCTGTTACCTGCAACTTCGCCCGCATGGAGTTTGCAAGCAAAAAACCATTTATATTCAGTATTTCAACAACCATAATAATTGTTATCTAACACCTACCACTGAAAATCGAAATATATAAAAATATTTATAACAATGTCTGAAATGTTATCAATTTAATATACCTAAGTATTCAATGAAGACTAAACATAGACAAAAACAAAAAATTGCATCTAAAATAGTACAGTAGAAGCCGTTCTTCAGGCTAAGCCTTAATGCTATCCCTATCTCCTGTGGAGGAATTTCGAAAAATCCCTTCTTAGCATGCATTTTTATGATGTACCCTACTAAATTTCACTACTTTAGGTTCAGCAATTTGCTCTGGGCGATGATGAATCAATCAGTCAGGACAGGTAATTTTATATATTTAGATATAAAAAAAGTAAATTATAAACAGTTTTACATAAATACCTCTTAATTAATATATANAACGGAAGCTTACTGTTAGATGAATCTAGCGGTAATCAATAATCCTTGCATTGAGCACAAATAACGTCGATGTAGCGATCGTAAACAGGAGCGATGCATATCACGTCCTACCAGCCCTATCCCAATTTTACTTATCCTATACCGATGACTACACCTTTATACACTTATAAAGTATGACCGGAGATTGGAGTGTCGCTAAGGCCGACAATGGCCAGCGACGGGTGAGAGGTGGGATTCCCTCGGACGTGACATTTTTATTTCTATATTGATGATTAGACTTTTACGGCCGATTGCAGAGACAGTGTTTACGTTAAACGACATTTAACGGTTGAACGTCCTATAGACGTCGGACGGCTGAAACGCGGTTTAAAATACATTGCAAAGACGATGATCATATATTTTCGAACACAATGTAAACGAATCTCGGCGAAACGTTGGCTGTTAATGTTTTCGCCATTTCTTTTTCGTTTTAGGAGTCGCTTAGCCAATTACATTATTTGTGTGACGTCCGAAACATGGCGACTGTGTCGAAAACGTGTAGGAATTTTTCGGAAGAAGAAAAGAACGTCCTGGCGGAAATTGTTAAAAATCATTACGTAGTTGAAGAGATGGCGTATGATAACCGTACTCTAGCGTAAAAAAAACGGCATGGGAGAAGATTGTAAACGAATTTTTTTTGTCATATTTTTGTAGAGCAGCTCGTACAATAGTACAATTGAAAGGCGAGTATGAATGTAATATATTCATTTCATATTAGAAGATGCTAGTTAATATCTTTAACATTAATAATATCAAAGTAGAATAATAATTCAAAATTTTAATAAAACGAATATATAGAAAGTTTCGATTATTACCCTTTTATAGTTACCCGGCAGAAAATTCTGCCGGGTGAGTTTCAAGAGGACTTAAACATTTAAATTAAATTTATTACAATAAAAATTACAGTGGTACCTCAGGTTACGAACGCCCNTCGCTAAGGCCGACAATGGCCAGCGACGGGTGAGAGGTGGGATTCCCTCGGACGTGACATTTTTATTTCTATATTGATGATTAGACTTTTACGGCTGATTGCAGAGACAGTGTTTACGTTGTCGTATATCAAAGTAGAATAGTAATTCAAAATTTTAATAAAACGAATATATAGAAAGTATCGATTATTACCCTTTTATAGTTACCCGGCAGAAAATTCTGCCGGGTGAGTTTCAAGAGGTCTTAAACATTTAAATTAAATTTATTACAATAAAAATTACAGTGGTACCTCAGGTTACGAACGCCCCAGCATACGAAATTTTCAGGATACGACATGAAATTTGAACGTATTTTTGCTCCACGATACGAACAAAAACTCACCATACGACATTACATTAGTTCGCATTTTTCATTTGTTTTTCTTACTACAGTTATTTTTTTAAATGTATTACTTGGCTTTAATTTGAGTATGTTTTTCGCGTTGGAACGAATTATTTGGTTTTACATGTAATCGTATGGGAAAAGATGATCCACCTTACGACATTTTCATGATACGATCTCAGTTTCGGAACGGATTAATTTCGTATCCTGAAGTACCACTGTATTTTGTGCAATCTATATTTAAGTGTTTTCTATTCTGAATCAAGATTTCATATTATACTAATCTCTACTTTTATTTATTAAATTAATAGATTATGTAAATATACAATATTGACCAAATATTAAAACAGCATATTTAATTTAAGAAAAGTTTACTAGAAAAGTATATCTTATGATCTATGCAGTGGCGTACCGTGGGTGTCAGCCGCCCGGGGCGGAGGAAAATTTCGGCTCCCCCTTATTTAGGTATTTCAATTTAAAAGACCAAAATTCAGTTTTGTCACAGAACAAGCAATGAAAAATTCGGTGGTAGTGCAGCGACCTGTTTAAAATAGTTCTATTGGATATTGGTGGTGTACTGTACATGAACGCGAATGAATTGTACAAGCAAAAAAAGATCAACAGGTTTCGCAGGAATTCCTCGAATAAAAAAGTTACTAGTTCACCCGGCGAGCCGATTCACTAGAAGATACTATCGATACTTCGCCGGACGATAGCACTATCGTAGGCGCAATGCAAGTAGGGGAAATACGAGCAAAATGACATACGGTTTTATTTTAGGTTTATAACTCTTTATTGGTAAATCACATCACTGTCATATTCTATACCAATCATCTTTGGTTCTTTACCTATGAAACATACTAAACATTTACAATATTAAAATAACAGAAAAAAAATATTGTTAGTTTAATTGAGATCATCCAAAATCCATTTTGTCCATATACTATGGGCAAAATGACACATTACGTAAGGACAAAATGACATACACGTAAAAACTATAAAACTACTGGCAAAGTTTACAAATGAAACGCTTGGCTTTTTTAGAAACGTCAGCGCAAGAAGCGTGAGCCCAACGAAAACAATTTAAGCATCGTAACCACTCTTCTCCAGGCTTAGATCGGGAAAAAAGATCATGGCAATATATGCATGGACAGTCTTCTTCATCATCGTGACAATTATCAGGAAAATTTTCTTCTTCAAGTAACTTTTTAGTAACGTTTCGTCTCCTTTTCTCTGGCGGAGCTTTGGGCTCATTTTTTGATTTAATTGCCTTCACATTAGGAGTAGAAGTTAAAACTAGAGGTTTGTCGAGTCACGTGATTCGTTGCAAGTTTTTTGTTATGTGAAAGATAATAAGTTTGTAAATAATATGTAAGAAAGGAAATAAAGTTTTATACTAAAATTTCTTTTAAACAATAATGAAAGACTTTTTTAAGGTAAGTTCCTTGACTAAGCTCTTATGGACTAAATGGCAGGTATGTCATTACGTCCGTTGCCTATGTATGTCGTTTTGTCCATATAACGTTATAAAAAAACAAAATTATAAAATAAATACAAAGATAATATTTTTAATGGAAAAAGTTATTTAGATGTAACAACAAATTCTTGAGAGTTGAAATAAATGCTACACAAATAGATAAAATAGTGAAAAACTGACCATCTATACAAAAAACTTGTTGCAAGGAAAAAAAAACTCATAACGTATCATTTCTTGTCGTAGGCCATGACATCCGGGCCAATGAGAGGAGTGCGTTCACATTTTGACAGGTTAGTAAAAGCCGCTCGGATAACGTGGTGTCGTGGTCAGTCGCGCGCTTGAGACCGCCAAATTTGAATTATGTTGCTTATGTCATTTTGTCCGTATTTTCCCTATAGATTAGGATGTCTCAAATTTTTACAAGATATTATTATTTATTGTGAAATTTTGCCGCCCCCTAAAAGGTAATTTTGCCGCCCCTAAAAAGTGCCGCCCGGGGCGGGCCGCCCCTGCCGCCCCCACTACGGTACGCCACTGGATCTATGTTATAGGTTCCTGGAAGCGATTAAAAATAGATGCCAAAAAAGAGGCAGATAATAATCGACGTGCTGCGCATATAACAGGTGGAGGACCAGCACCGTTATCATTGAATTTCTTCACACAAGTGGATTTATCTATTCTGGGTGACAGTATTGAACCGTTACTTAATCCGGATGATCCACCATCACCACTTATTATCACATATGAAAATAATACTGAATCACTTACAGCTACAAATGAATACTCTAGTTCAGAATTATTTTCACCTATAGTGGTAAGTGATGCGGCTGTCAGGGAAAATATGGAAGTTGCAGAAGTGGCAGATGATCCACCTTTACCCAAAAGACAACGGTAAATAATGTTCAGATAAAATAATACTAAATATTAATAATTACTTTCTAAAACATAATTATTCATATTTATAGCATTAACTCATTAGAAAAAGCCCAAATTCAGCTAATAGAGGAGGGCATAAAAAGAGAGAAAATGAAACAAGATACAGAAAGAAAAAAGCAAGAAGCGGAACAACTTAACATAGAGTTATTACACTTAAAAAAGTTGAAACTTCTGCAAGAACTAAAATTATCGGAAAATAAATAAATGCATTTATTATAAATATTAAAACGGCCCTTTTCAGGGCCAACAACTTTAGTTAAGAGTGGTCAAATCTTATTAATAAACAATTAGATGATGGAAGAATATCAAAGAAAAAATATATGAAAATAAAAGAAAGATAAAAGTGGAGCATAATTCATATGTAAAAAATATATATGTATTTTTTTATTAAATAGCTATTTACCTACTGTTTGTGATTACAGAATCATGTTTAACATATATACCTTTTTATATGTATACCAACTGAAGAGGGATTATTATCACTGGTGTGATAAGACCTTATTATCTACCTCACATTAGTAGGGTTTTTAATTAATTTAATTATATCAAGGGCAAAAAGCAATTCCTTTATATTCTTTATATATATATCAAATTCTTTATCGCACTCTTTTATACTGAATGGCAAAAAAGTCTAAGTTATAAACAGTTTTACATGAATACAACATATACAAGTATTTCATTAAAAATGTTATAAATAGCAACTGTTTAATGAACATTTTTCAAGTAATACATTTATAGATTAACTTGCTTGATTACATAAATTTCATTTAATACTTGTTAAGTAAATTAAAACTCACTTTGAATGTTTTATTGAATGTTATATAAACATTTTCAACAATGCCTCATGGAACTGTACTTCAGGAACAAGAAATACATAAAATTAAACACAGAAATCATAATTTAAATCCTTTTGAGGAAATATGGATGAATAAAACAACTGTATGAATGTTTATTTAATTTGTTACATAGGTTATGTTAAGTAATATTTTTATTTAAAATGAATAAAAAGAGAATTATTTTGTCTATGATAGGCTCACTCTTTATCAAAATTGTATGGTCCTGAAAAGGACCTTTTGTGAAAGTCCTAAAGTACTGTTTCATTTAACTGAAATGTTGCAGTACAATAGATCTTCGAAGAGCAGATCCTGATCCAGATTGCTCATTCATTCTTGAAGTTTCTTCCTCTGTTTCTTCATTTGAATGCTCAGTAAGAAACTCCTACTCTTTAAATTCAATGGCCCAATTGTGTAGAATTGCAGTGGCTATTATCATGTTTAGTGTGTTGTCTAATTTAGTTCTTAGACAACTTCCAATGCGTGGAAATCGTCTTTTCCAGACCCCAAATAATCTCTCGACGATATTTCTTGCTCGTGAATGACCTTTGTTATACCGTCTTTCGGCATGATTTTGTGGATGCAGAAATGGGGTCATTAAATATGGCAAACAAGGATAGCCACTGCCACCAACCAGATATCCATTACAATATCCTTGTAGTTTTTCTTTAATGCTACTATTACAAAAAATTCTGCTATCATGTGTTGAACCGGGCCACCGAGCAACAATGTTTCTAATTTTCATCTTTCCATCACAGATTACCTGAAGTATACATTTAAACATGCATCAATTATATATTTTCATTAAAGTTATCAGTTTGAGGTATCAAAGATATTATTTGATATTTTTAATTTCATATGTCAAAGAAATACTCAAGAATATAACTGTTTCATAACAAGGCATAACAATTTAAAATGTTAGAAAAATATATAGGCCATTGTATATTTAAAAGTTATTTAAGCTACAATAAATTACAGTTTGTTACATTTTATTGTTCTCCACAAAAATGTTTGTTGAGAACAATAAAATAAAATTGTAATTGAGGTACACTCACTCTGCATAAGTAAATCACAATATTTAAGTAAAGATGATATTGTATGTAAATAATTCTCACCTGGCAGTTAATAGAATAATAGGATTTTCTATTATAAAAAAGTTGAGCTTTACTGCTGTCAGGACACTGGATAGGAATATGAGTGCAATCAATTGCTCCAATTATTCCTGGAAAGTTATCCTTAGACAATTCGTCTTCGGAATAAATTTCTATAGGATTATTCCGACCTCGCATTACCCTCTCTCTTCGTAACTGTCGAGATGAATGATGTTCTTCATTTGTCCTGTTTGTAAGATTGATTAAATTAAAAATATCCATTTTAACACGACCAAGAACAAAGGTAAATGGCGACTTCTACTCGAGTAAAATGATCTCTAAACCTGCTATCGAGGGAGTCTAGAAAGTAGGTCAAATAACTTGTTTCTAATCGCTGTCTACACTGTGGCAGGGGACAAACGCCGTCTCTGCAATGAAAATTTTTCTGAACAGCGGTCTACCCGATCTGTAAACCGCGGTTGCCCTCTAAACGCTGTCTCTGCAATCGGCCCTTACAGTCTAGTCATCGGTATCAGTCTAGTTATCTATATTATAGTACTTGATCTATATAACAAGAAAAGATTATATTACGTAATAATTTATCACACCGATTAAACAATCAATCACGTTTTAAAATGTCTTTGAATTGTGTAAAGTAGGGAAATAAAACATGTTTAATGTAAAATGTGTTAGATTGGTCACTCGGTGCGATAAACCCTTACGTAAGATAATCATTGTCGTTATATAAATCAAATAAGCTAATATAAAAAATATTAAAACGAAAACCACGTAAAGAGTTTAATTATTTTGGCCTATCGTTATTACGTTTATCGCGATACCCGAATGGTACGGAATGGTGCAATTCATTGGTCGAGTAGACACCAATCGAAAATATCGTACTATAAATATTTTAAGATATATTTTTCCCAATGTTAATACTAAGAAAGTGTGCCATTCGCAGTCGAATATCAAACGGTAATCTGCTTTGTCATTCAATCCTACTGATGTTTAGATCTAACATTAAGCAAGCAAACACGAACAGTAACAAAAAAGAACTTTATTAGAAAAGGTTAGAACTGTCACAGACATCCTCGGGCAACACCAGGACAAAATCCAATGAACTTTCGCGCCTTTTCTTTTTTTGACGTTGCCAGCCACTCTTGTTGGCAAGTGTTGCCAGACAGAGTTCGTGATCTTGGCAAGTGTTGCCAGACAGTGTTCAGGATCTCTGGCGCTGGCGGCCACACTGCCAACCAATCAAATTTCGCAAAACCACCGACCAAATATCTAAACTCGGCACTCGAAAATCGTTTAAAACATTTTGTGGCCTGTACCCTCGTATTATGTAATGTTCCTGTTCCAATGCCAAAGAGAATGATTAAATCGATCAAAAATAGTAGTTGACCTCCTCCTGAAAGAGAGTACCTCCTGGTCAACGATTGCTAATTAATACCGGTCTACTATTAATATTTGAAAAGTGATCCGTTGTTGAATAGGTCGTGATTTGAGTTGCTAAGTTTCACTTCCGAAACACTTGATGTAAGACTTGCTAAGATAAAAAACTCTTGTAAAAATGCAAAAATAATTGCTATTAAATGATCCCGTAAAACAGCGGTCCCCAACCTTTTTATCGCCGCGGACCGGTCAACGTTTGATATTTTACCGCGTCCCACTGAGGGGGGACGTTGATTGTTTATATTTTAGATTGATTTAATTTAATAATTTTAATTGTATTTAAACATGCCTTCAAAATAAAATATAGTTACACCAAAAAATGAATATAATATGATTTAACATTTTAACTCACTAGAACGTTAAATCAATGAGAACCCTGAGCTTGTTTCTTTGCAACAAGACGGTTCCATCTGGGGGTAATAGGAGACAATGACACCCGAAGTGTGTTTCTTATGTCCAGTTTATACCGTTGTTCCGTCGTCCATTAAAAGTCGCACAAACCCGAGAGAAATACACCATAGTAAATAAAATGGAAATACCAGTACTGTAATTTGATGTTCCTTGGCGGCCCGGTACCATTTGATCCACGGACCGGAACCGGTCCGCGGCCCGGGGGTTGGGGACCACTGCCGTAAAACACCTGATGAAACCACGTTGAATAAACAAAGCTTACTCCACACGAAAAAGTCCCTAAGCGATCTGTCAAGGAGGATGCATCCCTGAAAGACCTCTAGTAAAGCTTTTCAATTTAAGTGTTAGTAACGCGAAGAAAAGCCAGAAAACTCCACCGGAGGGTATTTATCCAGTAAATATCGGAGGGTATTTACCGGAGGGTACTTATCGAGCTGCAATTTGAAAAACTGTAGACTTTTAAATTCCCACTGTCGTCCGTTTGTCTCGTCCTTCCGAAATCTCGAGAACGGAGTGAGCTACCTGAAAGTCGAGAACAGGTGTGAAAATTGTAATATAAAAAGAACTAGATTAACTATGTGCGAACTTCCGATTTGCACCGCGAGTCACGTTATTTCGATTCAAAAAGCTCCCCCCGAACAGAGGTAAATACATAACCGGCACGACAGGAAAAGTATGAGGTACGGAAGCAAAACACTACACAAGCGAGTGGTATGCGCAACCTATCGTAGTAATGGCGTAATGGCGCATCTATTTCGCGCTATATTATTGTCGCAATAATTCGTCATAACGTCATACAAATGCAATCGATATTTTGAGATGGGATGTAGCACATGATCTAAGTTATAAGAATTTGAACGTAATTGCCGAGTTTCGTAGCAATTGGTGGAACGGCCTAGGAGTGAATAGAGATTAAATAAAAAAAAACATTCTTATTTATGAATAGAGATATTAAATACAATCCGCTGTACAGGATTAATACGACAAAAAAGCGACTTTTGCGATGCACACGTCTTTCCAGTAGCCGCTACGAGGAGCTTCTTTTTTTCAGGCCAAAAATGCCCGTGATGCGAGGGAACGAATGGTTCTAGTTGAATATAGTAAAACCTGCTAATCTGAACCCCTGTGTAAGACGACCACTTTCAGCCGGTCCGTTCAATGGTCAGATCAGCAAATTTTACTGTATACAAAAAAAATTAACAGAAATATTCGAATGACAATGTACTGTACTGTCATAATCAGATGACAAAAATATTATTAACAAGTAAACACAGAAGTAAAAATATTAGAACTATTTATAGACCAATACTAAAACTAGAACTAATTTTAGTATCGGTCTTTTAAAACCTTAATTAATAATATTAATTAAGGTTTTAATATTAATATTAATTAATAATATTAAATTTTGATCAACATTACCTAAACGAAGAGACCTAGAACTTGAATAGTAATAAAGTGCGAATTAAAAATCCTACTCACCCGTTGGGGTCACAAATTGTAATTATCGGTTTCGGGAGATCTTTCACGTCCATAAATTTAATCGAAGCTTCTAAATTGGTCGGACATGTGAAATATAATAACAGGAATTGAGTCAATTGGAAGAAAAATCCAAATAAAGCACCGAAAAAAACGAACAACTTAAATATTTTCCTTTTGGTATTTGGTTCTGTGACGATTTGAGGGATTCCCGTCATAATGACATTCTGTAACATTCTTCTAAGATATCGACGCATATCTTTACTGCTTGGATTTTTTATATATTCTATCATATTTATATCTCTACTGACGAAGAAACATCAGTTTAAATTTGAATACCAAAAAGTGCTGAAAATATAAAAACAAAACTTACCTTTCCTAGGTTAAAAAGGAATAATTTCGAGCCGAGTTGTTATAGAATTCGATCCTTTAAATATTACTTTTTCGTTGTTTGTGTAATGTCTGCTGGGGAGTAATGAAAACACTAATTTTTAATCAGGTTGAAATGAGAATAAGCTGAATTAGTAATGAAATATAGGCGATAATTAGTACAGGTACTTTCAATATCTAAAACATCCTTGGTTAATTGGTCTTCCACGATGCATTTTCGATGAAATAAAAAATGCATCGTGGACGACCACGTGGTCATGGTTGGCGAAGTTTGAACAATCGCGCCCAAAAGCAGCGATACCAAAGAAGATTGGAGAATGACCACGAGACCGGCCTCGAGCGTCAAAGTGACTCCGCTTATTACTGAGTCTCCGAGACATAATCTTGTCCCAAATACGGTTTTGCCGTTTTACTTGTTTTCAAAATGCATTTTGGACTTGGAGTCCCTCTTAACCTATTTTGATTATTACCGAGAAAAAACCCTACCCTTTTTATGTATAATTTTCTTTTGTTGTTATGTGGCGTGTTTAAATTCCGACCTCTTGCACTGAATAATAGGAAAACTTCTGTTTCCTCCTCTGCTTTTCTTACGAATCTCCTCTATTTTCTGTAATTCTGTTTTCTTCTTTAAAGCTTTTAATTTTGTTTTCATATAAGCAGGACCGTAATAACTGGAGCAACGTTTAGCTGAAAAATAATCAAAATCATATAGATTCTAACAACAAATTATTATTACAAGTGTTTATACTGGTATATATGCATATAATTTATATATACTGCATTACCGAATAATTCATACACCGCTCTAAACGAAATAAACTTATCTCTGAAAATAGTAAAATGCTCTTCCGATCAAATTTCTGCATAAAACGTGCGGAAAACATCGTAAATACAAGGTCAAAACAAACCTCGAAACAACTACACGTGTTTGTCACGTGGTCAGGGCCGGCCATCGGGGGTGTGCGGCGGATGCTATGCACCAGAGCCTCGCGATTGAGGGGCCCCAACATTATCAAGAACTAAAATAATGTACTCTTGCACATGAAAACTTGACAATATTCCTATCGTTGTCAGTATGACGAAAAGTACATTTTATCGTAAACATTATTACTGTAGATATCTGAATTTCGACAATCTTCAAACTAATTCTTGATGATGCGAGTGTTTAGTTTTTGTTATTTGATTCGGGGAACTCCCGAGAATCCCCACCTAAATTGGACTTTTTAGAAAAAAATCTCAATACCATATAGCCCGCGTTAAGAAATGAAAATAATACTGTGGCCATCGGCCATATAAAATTATATGTATATTTGTATATAGTCGTAGTTTTAATGTTTATTTTATAATTTCTTCTATCTCTTTTTGTCTGTCTTATTTCTGGAACTTTCTGGTGACCGTTATTGTCGCTGGGTAGGATTAGCCGTTCTAAGAATCAAAGAGAACTGTTACAACTGATCTGTTGTAACTTGATCTAAGTGTCAGGTCAAAGGTAGAAATTCCTACATACTTTTCGAATGTCTGAGTGAGTTCTTGTGTAGTCGTCACCCCAG